CAAAATTCGTGGTGAATCACAAAGTGGAATTGAATATACTTTTATGTTACCTCCGGGTAAACAATTAAATATCGGTAGTTTCGTTTCTATTCCAATGATGTTACGTTTCTTACGACCTGATGTTGGTATAGAAAGAATTGAAGTTTCATTAAAGACTTCTATGGACTTTCAATGTTCAGATCACAATGAAAAACGACATTTAGATCAACAGATCGCTGGACTGGTCATTTCACGTTCTGAACTTCGTTATATGCAGTCTTCAATGCCTCATTATAATTATGGTGAATGTACTCATACTATCAACCTATTTATTCCTCTCTCCGCTCAACCAACTTTTCAAGGGAGGTTCATTAGTATAGCACATAAATTATCAGTAAATGTTAGTCTTTACGGTTGTGTAAAGGGTTTTATTATTGAAGAACAGGTTAAGATTTCTAATATAGTTGAAAAGAATACACCCTCTAAACGTCCTTATTCTCCTTTGTCTACTGATCGTTTGCCAAGTCCTATTATGGCTTATCCTGAGGGAGTTCCAAGTGATTATTCTCGATCGCATGATTCTCTTGAACAGATTCCTGGTTCTTTCGCTTATCAGTCTCATACGATGAATCAAGTTCGTCAGCAATGTAGTCTTCCCGAATTACCACAAGGCATTCTCGTTGACGATCATTATCAAGGACCATTTCATTCATCTTTTGAATATTGTCGAAACTCACCTTTTGACATTAGTAGTGGTTATGACCGTATATTTGATGGTTATAACGTACAAACATCATCAGATACGTCAAGTCATATTTATCAACCATATAGTTCTTCTCAACAATCTCGTTCTGAAAGTTCTGAAACGCCGCAAACGCCTCCAAATGGATATTCTGCAACTATTTCTTCAATAGGGTTGCGACCTTCATATTGAATTATGACATCATTACGTAGTTTTGGTTTGGGAATCGGATTCTCTATTTCATTTGGATTAATAATAACCAAAACCAAAGTTTTGTTTTCCATTTCGGTCAATAGCATCGAACTCAAAAATCCGACAAATTTATTAAATCAATGCTATAAATTTATTAAAACTTCATTGCCATTTTCAAATTAGTGGTTTAATGACTAAGCAGGATTGTTAAATAATTTGATATGTTAAATATATTAATTATATCAGAAATGTATAAAATAATTATAAATAGCGAAAGTTTTTTATATAAAAAATAAAACTTTGAATCATAAATAATAACTTTTTTCAATCAAGTTTTCTTCAAAACTCGAGATGTCCTAACAATTTTTTAGAAAAGTAAAAATCCTTTGAATCCTTGTAATCCTTTTTTAATGTTATTTGATAAATGAATTATTCGCAATCATGATCCAGTTCTCATTCCCAAACAATGATCAGAAAAACTACCGAGATTCATCGGCAAGATAATTGAAGTTAGAAAAGATTATTATAAAATTCTTAGTAAATTAACACAAAAACTTATAAAAGCAAGAGAGCTATTGATTTGAGATAAGTCAATCTCACCGATCGAAATATATCAGCTTCTTAATATTGGCTACAATACCAACCGATTATCCGGTTATGGTCTAATCTGTTCAAGTCAATGAGTAAAGTTGTCATCAGCCTGGATGACTTTTAAATTTATGGCTTCAGCTTAAGCCATGGCTCAAATAGTCGACTCTAATTGTAATGTGACTTTCTAATAGATTAAAAAATTACCTATGTATCATGTAATAATATGAAAATATCGAATCACAGCTTATGATTCAAGACATAGCTTAAGCTGCGCAACTTAAGCTACGGCTCGGATCAATATTAGTTAAAGTAAGCCGATACTATAATATATATATTCTGACATCTCTACTTCGTTATTCGTAGATATCACTATATGGGTAATTGTTTTTACCATTTTTATATTTATGATGCAATGACATTTTGGGTCTGGACTCAAAAATCACCACCCATTATAGTTATTATTAAATTACGTAAAATATTCGTAAAAATATACGTAAACCTGCTAATGACTCAGCCGATTGACTGTCGATCGACTACGATCACTAGCACCTATATATTATTATGATCAATACCCTTTTTATATTATCGATTGATAAGATTTAGTTCTAAGATTAGAAGTTAAGGGCTATAATAAGTCTAGGTAATAATTTTGGGGGGCCAATTACTTAGCCAATCAGTTTTGAAATATAGCAACCATGATGTTTAATACATGTTTATAGATCAACAAGAAGTATTTTAAAGAATTTCAATTATGTTGATACTGTATGAAGGACCATTTAAAAAATAACCGATTCTTCGCAGTGATTAGTAAAGTGCACCCTGCTTGTCACTACATTGCATAAACCTAATCGTAGAACACTAAACCTTACACATTTTCCTGAACACACTCTTTTAAATAGATAAATACCCACTTTTTTGAAGAAAAAGACATTTTGCGAATCTAGTAAATACTATTATTTGAGATTTTGCCTAATTCCAAACTAACAAGTTTGGGTCGTAACTTTATTAACCGACAAATACGTACTTAGATAATATCGGCCCTAAGATTTTTTCAAATGCATCTATATTTTTCCATTGGGAACCAATATCTACCAAATGCTTCTATATTTTTCTATTGGGAACCAATATCTACCAAATGCTTCTATATTTTTCTATTTGGAATCGATATCTACCAAATGCTTCTATAATTTTCCATTGGGAATCAATATCTACCAAATGCATCTTTATTTAACTCCG